CTCATTTATAATTTTGATTTTCGTTCTGGGAGAGTGTTGACACCTCTCATATATCTGCCTGCACATTTTGGTTGTGCATATTCTATCCTGCTGTTCTCAAAATTCTTGACACCAGTAGCAATCGGATTTTTCCATGTTTGCTGATTCTTCCCAGGTCTCTTATCTCTGTGTGCATCTTTTTGAGTGTGCCCTTCAGATTGTTTTTACTGTGCTTGTGGGTCTTACACTGCAGTTGTTTTCCCTGTGTTAATTCCGCATAATGCAACTTGTTTAGGCCTTTGTGAATCTTCTAGGCGGACAAGGTGACCAGACCATCTAAGTTGGTGTTTCATAAAAATAGATTTAATACTTGTTGATTTTGCCAATTGCAGTACTCTTTATGTGTGTGTGTATACACACACACACACACACACACACACATATACATATATATATATATACACACACACACACACACACACACACATATATATATATATACATATACACACACATATATATATATATATATATATATATATATATAACCAAATGGGTAAATATAGGTAGGTATATGAGTGAGTGATTGTATACAGACGTATATAAATACTTTATTGTGTAAGAGAAAACAATGCTCAATGTTAAATGACAGAGCTATTTAATATATTAAGAAATATACATAATACCTTACATTCCAGCACTTGATAAAGGCTTTGGCATGAAACTTGGAGTTGCGCAATTAATATAAGGTATTATGTATATTTCTTATATATTTTACATACACACACAAACTCTGGATGAGACAAAGTTCAGACTGCTACTTGAGTTGAATCTGAAGTTGTGGTTTCAAATTTAGTGTTTTGGTAGGTGTTAGTCTTTTGGTTTTTTTTAGTTAGTTTCATTTTCCCTCTTTTACTTCTGTTGGTTTTTCTCTTGGTTTTATTTTGTTGGTTGTTGTGCTTATTAGTTTTTTTTTGGTTTGGCAAGCTTTGTGTTGGTTTTACCAATACTTTGTTTTTGTAGGTTTATATGCTACTAGCCCAATTATCCGCACCTTGCCGCATGTCACACTTTTTTGTTTTTTTTTTTATTTTGTAAGAAAATGATTTATATTGTCATTGTTATAATTTGTGGAGAAAAAAGATGCATTTAAGTATTACTCAATGATTTTGCTGATGTGACCTCCATCTTCTGGCTTTCTCCTCCTATATTTTCGATAAAGTTATTCCTTTGTTCAAATTTAATTTATATCAAAGGGGGAAAAAATTTTCAGTTGGGGTTTGTGCAAAAACAGCTAACCTCTTTGATATGTATTTGATGTAATACTTGAATGAATTGATGAACAGACTTCAATATTGATATGACAGTTGAATTGTAGCAACAAATCTGTATTATAAGGCACTACCCACTAATTGGTGATTTCTTGCTCAATTTGATATCCATATTGTCTCATTTTGATCTTGCTGATGTGACCTCCATCTTCTGGCTTTCTCCTCCTATATTTTGGATAGGAGTCATTACATTATTTAAATTTAATTTATATCAAAGGGAAAAAATTTCAGTAGGCATGTCCCCCGGGGCCCCTTTAATCAAAATGAAATATACTTATCCAAGTACCTTGGTTTCAGAATAAATATAGTTGGGTTTGGGGGGGTTCTATCTCCAAAACACTAGGAGGAGTTTGATAACAAGCATAGGCTACAACTTATATACTCAATATATAAGGCTAATAGTTGGTAAATAAATGACAAAATTAAAAAAAAAAACTGTTAGGTCAAGTGTTTCATCCTGAGTTGAAACATCTTCAGACAAACATTGCTCTTATTGATGGAATCTGTCATTCATATATAATATATATATATATATAGGCTGAGATTCCACCAATAAAGTCATTCTAGGCTTATTGTTATCAATAACATTTATGGTAATATATGGGAAACCATATAATAATTATCCATGTGTATTTATACATTTCCTGTCCCGTCTGTACTAGGAAGGGAGGTAAATCAACTTAAGTTAGTAAATTTAATAATTTATACAAGTAAAATATTTATCTGCATTTAGACAAAATTACTTCCGAAGCAAAATGAAGCATTGAATAAATCCGTTCGTTTACTCTTACATTTCTTAGATTTCAGTCTTATTTGTTCAAGCCTTTTCTGTGAGGCCCTCAGATACCTTTGTTTATTCAGTGATTGTCTTGCATCAACTTGGTCCTGAAATAGGCTTTGCTATCACTGTCTTTGTTGTTCTGTTGCTAGTCTTTTCGTTTCAAGAGATATTGCCATTTCACCATTATATTAAACACGTACAATGTTGCTGTAGAAGACTCTGAAGTTAGTGCACTTTCTTTACATTTTCACCTAAATAAATTACTTTCAGTTAAATGGATATCATTTTAGTCAAAATTATGGTCAGAACTATTACAATGTATGACTAATACATTGAGTGTGTTGTTTTGTAAAAGATTTCCCTTTTGACTTCATATATACTTTTATTTAATTTTGTAGATGTTTCACCTCTCTCTTTTTCTATCCCTTTCTCTTCTTTTTCTATCTCTCTTCAGTTGCAATAAAGTTTTTGATTTTATCTTTGGTAAATATAAACACTGTAATTTTTGTGTCCAGTTCCAATTTGTTTTTTGTTTTTGTTGTTTTTTTTTTCCTCTAAGCCAACAGGATTTTAGGCCAAAGTGAGCTATGCGTTCAGCTCATCTCTTCTTGCTTTCATCAAAGATAACAAACAGAAAATTTCAATAAACACCACAGGACAGCTTTTATACAGATAAAAACAAGTGGAATTTATGTTTTCCTGAATTTTTAAAATGTTCATGCTTTTTTATATTTGGAAGTGTGTATATATATATATATATATATATATATATATATATATATATATATATATATATTTGAATTGAATATGATAATTATAGAACTGAATAAAGTTATTTCTCCTTAGAAAAAAACAATTATGTAACAATGAGACTTTCACTATAAACTGGTCTCCACACGAGCAGCTTCTAAGGCCTATTTTGGTTCTTTTGCTGCCCTCCTTCCATATGCATTTTGGCCATATTTTCACTTCCAATATTACCTAAATTTTCACTGTCATTTTATTTTCAGCCTAGCCCTCATCACTAAATCTGGCCAAACATTGGAATATATATATATATATATATATATATATATATATATATATATATATATATATGAAAAGTGAATATAAATATAAATAAATATATATATATATATATAATTATTTATATATTATATCTTAATTACTTATTAAGCGCTCAATATCAGAGATAGAGCTAACATATTTGGTTGGATAGATGTGAGTTTGTGACCCTGGTTTTTTAAACATTAATCAGTTTGTCTGACGATCGCTAAAGCGTGAAACCCAGGGTCACAAACTCACATCTATCCAACCAAATATATATATATATATATATATATATATATAGAGAGAGATACACCTAGTGAGCTCACTAGGTGTATCTAGGTCTGCTCTACGGTTGTACTGAGCGCTTTTGTTAGTTGTTTACTCGTATCGGGGTTTTTTCTTTGGGCTTCAGACCTGCATCTGTGCAATTTTTTGTCGACAGAAGTTCATGTTTATAGCTCTTTCTTTTTTTTAAAACCTTTTTTCCCTCGAGATTGATTTGATTATTAGCAAATCAAAAATTCAAGGGTTTTTTCGAAGCGAGTCTAGTTATATATATATATATATATATATATATATATATATATATATATATATATATATATATATACTTGTTTTCAGATCAAGAACTTTTTTAGCACACTTCCATATGTCAATATAGAATAAAGTATATCTTTGGCTAAACAGTCATTGTATGATATCATTATCATCATGCTCAGTCCTGTGACTGGGTGTGGTTGTAAAGTCACTGTGCAACTGAGCACCTGTCCAGCTTTTTCCTTACATCTATGTGAATGAGCTTCCAGTTCACTTTGGGACATTGTCAGCCCATTTTTTCCTCTGTTTGCCTCTTTGTTGCCTAAGGTGGTATTTTGTAGGCAATGAAGGAAAGCGAAAAGAAAGGATCATCAACTGCAAGAAGACATAATGCATGGTTGTCAACAAAAGGGACAGCCCAAAGTGCAAATTACAAATTGGAGATACCAAAATCAAACAGGTACAACAATTTAAATATCTAGATGGAAAGTGCAACATTGAAATCCAAAGGGACATTGGGATAGCGAAAGATGTCTTCCAAAAGCTAAGCAAAGTATTAAGAAACAGGAAAATTTTATTAGAAACAAAGAAAAGTGTACTGAAATGTTACATAATATCAGTCCTTCTGTATGGAAGTGACTGTTGGACAATCTCTAGACAGAGGAAGAGGACACTTGAGGCAACCGAAATGTGGTTCTACAGGAGGATGCTGAGAATATTATTGATCAAACATGTGAGCAATGAGGAAGTTTTAGAGAAATTGGAAACAAAAAACAAAAAGGACCATTACACTTAATATCAGGAAGAGATAGTTGAAATTTTTAGGGCACATAATAAGGAAATAAGGCTTGGAAAATCTGATACTCACAGGGCAGATTGAAGTGAAGGCAAGTGGACAGAAGAAAACAACTCAAGTTCACTTGAGTACATGGTTGGCGGAACAGGGTTTAGGAGAAATAGCAAAAAGACAAAATTTATTAAGAGCTACAAAGGATAGGAAATTGTGGAGAGCCATGATCGCCAACGTCCTGAAGGGACATGGCACGTAGAAGAAGGTACCTTGTAAGATGGCAGTGAGATGACTATTGGCTTTTATGCTGTGTCCATACCATTTTAACTTTTTGATGGGGTCTCACACTCTGTTGTTTGTGATGCAGTCTATGTGGGGAAATGACTTGGATGGTTCTACAGCCTCTCATTTCTGTTGGATCTATACACTATCAAAAGATAGTTACATATGCTGTATGCTGTAACGAGCATGCACGAAAACGTCCTCGAACTGCTTGTGTGTGTTGTCGCTGGGCACACCTTGGAGTACCATAATGGACTCGACCGAGGACTATAAGAAGAAGATGAGCGAATCGTTTGGTGTCTTTTCTTGGGTGACAAAAGCCGTTGCGGTCAGTCGTCCATCGGCAACTGTCTTGGGTGCCGTTTTGCTCGTTGGCTGTCGTAAAGTGTTGTGTCGCAAGTAGGCGTTCTTTTTGTGTCGCATTCGTTTTTGGTTCGCAAGTAGGCATTCGTTTTTGTGTAGCATTCGTTTTTGCGTAGCATTCGTTTTTGCGTCGCAAGAAGGTGTTCGTTTTTGTGTCTGAAGAAGGCGTTCGTTTTTTGTGTCGCTAGAAGTTGTTTTTTTTTCTCGCACATATGCCAAGACAGATTGTTGGAAGTAACAGCATATCAACCCTTAATAGTCATTTAATATCAAAGATTGGTTGCATCTCTGAAAGTTATATGTATATAAGCAAACTAGGGTACTTATTTACATTTGGATGAATATTCTCATCTGTCTATATTCCTGAGATGAGGTATTATGTACACTATTTACATTATTCGGACTATTGTCCTCATCTTTGTCGCCAATTTTTATTACAGCGTTTTGGCTGTTGTATGCTCCAGCCTTCTTCAGGTGGTTGGAATATCGAACTGAACCCTATATTTTGCTGACCACATATGGAGAGAAAAGGGAGATCACCGCCCTCTGTGGGATCAGGTTGAGATCATAGACAAAGGACACTATTTGAAAATTCGTAAACTTAAGGAATCAACACATATGCTAGGCCACAAAAATCACCTGAGCCAACCAAGCATAGAAATGAATACAATATGGGAACTAGTAATAAGGTGTACTAGAGAAAAGCGATTATAACAACAAAAATTGCAATATGAGCACTGGTAAAAATGGTTGCTGAAGACATTAGGTTTATAATACCCAGAAATTTATACATAGATGTCCTCAAGGACACATGGCACAGTGGATAAAGACGTTAGTTAGATCCAGTGACAGGACCCAAAGAGTGTGAGTTCAATACCTGATGGCAGTGGAGAACTTGGAGATTAACAGGAAATAAGTGACATTCATTAAAACATGGCACATGGAACTAGAACAGTCTACTCCAGTGAGCGAAATAAAGGGTTCAACAACCTGAAGAAGGCCGGAGCATACAACGGCCGAAATGTTGTGATAAACTTGGTGACAAAGATGAGGACAATAGTCCGAATAATGTAAATCTTTGTTCTTGTTATCACACCATTTCGGTTGTTGTGTCCCTTGGCTGTATTTTAAATGAAGTTTTCAGTTTGCAAGAAGAAGTGATGACAACAACAAAGATGAGATTGATGGTTGAATGAATTAAAGTATTGCTTCATGAATTTGGTAGTATAGTAATTGTGAGTTCTAGGCAGGGTAGTACAGGCTGAGAATCACTAGTAATAGTGTAAACAATAACTGTGCAGTATCAAATAAGAAAGATGAGATATCCATAGACATGGTCAGTTGAATCAGAACAATTTACTCCCGTAGATGAAATAAAAGGTTCAGTTTGAAATTCTTTGAAGGTTATCTGGATTGGCAAGCACCCGATGAATGTTGGAGGAATCAATGGCCAGAATATAGAAATAACAAAGATGAGAAGAATCGTCTGAACCCTCATCCTAGAAAGATGAAACCTTGTGATAGTAACAACAAAGATGAGGACATTAGTCTAAATGTAAATAATGATGACCCCCACCCCTCATCCCAGAAATTCAGATAGAAATAATTAAATGGAGTAGTTAGGTTTTGAGTTACTTAAAATTGTGGTGGGTAAAATTTTATTTTATTATTGATTTTATTTTTTTATTTATTTTTTATTATTTATTTTATGTTTTACGAGCAGCATGGCCCAGCGTTGCCCATGCTCGGTTCAAAAATCGTATGACTCATACAGCAATCGCTATCACTTGACTTAAAATATTTTTGCCCTTCCTTGCTTTTAAAGGAGTGCCCTTTGCCGTGCTGATGTTGCTACATGCCTTACTTCTTGCCGATCTCACACTGCGAATTTTTTCTAAGCTCTATACTAAACATTAAATCTGTTACGAAAAAAGAACTAAACAAAATGAACACAAAATGATGAGCTTTAAAAAAGGACTCGTAACTGGAAAAACCAAATGAAAAAAGAATGTTAACAACAAATACTTTTCCTGCCTATTTGTGGCTGCCAGCTATAGGATCTCACTCTGGCCAGTACAAAATGGCCTCAAACTACATGAAAACTGCTGTAGAAGAATGAAAGAATCGATTATTTCCACTATCGATGGAAGTTGGGAAATGCAAAGTTGGTCTTGGCCTTTCCGCTAACTTGGAATACGTGCATGTAAATTTTGGTGCAAATCCGTCGAAAATTGCAGCTGTGCATTCGTTATACACACACACATACACGCACACACCCCTGCCTTTTATAGATAGATTTATTTTATATTTTTTATTTTATTTTTTATTTTATTTATTTATTTTATTTCTTTTATTATTTATTTTTCAAGCACTGTATTATTTTGTGCATCTTTAGTTATGTACAATGAATGATACACACTTAGGTAATCATGTATCTTTCGATACATAACTGATGAGGCAGATTTTTCCCGTGGTAGGTAGCCATTTTTTTCTGCGGTAGACCATTTACCATCCAAGGCTATAGAACCCAATCTGTTCTACTATTTACCGATAGCTGGCGGGTAGAATAGGATTCATACCTTTTCTAAGGGTATTAGCATGTAAGTGAGTGTAATGGATTCAATTGGAATTTGAACTTGGCTCTCTGATTCCTCAATCTGAGCCACTATCCATTACTCCACCACACCCCCTCTTCCATATTACTCCACCACACCCCCTCTTCCATATTAACTCCACCACACCCCCTCTTCCATATTACTCAATCATAAACTCAACTCACCAAGTTTTTGTTCACCAATGCAGTAGACAGGTATTGAACTCAAAACTCTGTGTCGAGTCATTTGATCTAAGCAATGCTTTTATTTGCTGGGCTATGTTTCCTTGAGTGTTTCCATCAGAATTTTGGGGACTTATAAACTTAATGTCTCAGTATTCGTTTTTACCAGCTCATATTGCAATTTATTATTGTTTTTCTCCAGCACTCTGTATTAGTGGTTCTCATATTGTATTCATTTCTATGCTTTGTCAGCTTAGGAGATTTTTGTGGCCTGGCATATGTGCTGATTCTTTAAGTTTTTGTATTTTCCAATGATCTTCTCTGCTTATTATTTCAACCTCCACCCTCTGGGCGGGGGTGTGGGGGTGATCTCCCTTTTCCCTCCATATGTCATCAGCTTCACCTGATCTATCTATCTATCTATCTATCTATACACACACAGGGTGTCCATAAGTTCGTGTGCACTTTAAAAAATTTATAACTCTATTTGTATTTGCGATAGGAATAACCTGTAAAAAATATAATAGTGTTTCAACAAGATGGAGCTCCTTGTCACTTTGCTCTGAGAAAAAAATGTGTATGCAACCAAACCTAGTTCATTAGAAGATTTGAAAGCTAAAATGACTAATGTGATTTCAGGCATTACTGTAAATCAGTTGGCAAATGTTTTCCTTGAACTGCAAAATCGTATTACCCTTTGTATTGCTTATGATGGAGGACATGTAGAAACTTAAATAAAATTTCAATAAAACCTTAAAAAAATATAGATTTAATTCTTTCTAATCCTTTTTACAAATTATTTCTATCGCAAATACAAATTTTAAAGTGCACATAAACTTTATGGACACCATATATATATATATATGTCCAGAAAAGAAGAAAATTATAAGAACACAAGAAAAATTAAATAAAAAGCATTACTGTAGTACCTAGTCAATTAATTGTTCTTTAATGAGACTTTTGTGGATATGTGTGTGTATATGTATATATACAAACATTTTGACCATTAGCCCTAGCACTATAACTTGTAACCGTCAAGACAATAACTGGCTTCTTTTATCATTAGAAAAACTTGTCACAATTAATACGAGGGAATTTTTAGACAATGTGTTTTTTTTTTTGTTTTTTTTTTTTTTTTTTGTTTTTTTTGTTTTTTTTTTTTAGCAATCCACACAGACATATGTTTGTTAAGTGTTTTTATCTTAAGTGTTTGTGCATTTAATACAAGAGATTTTCACATGAACTGTTCTTAAGTGGTACTCAACCTTTTGGGCTATCATATGAAAGGAGTGGACAAAAGTGGACAATGGACAGGCTACCCTCCTAAGGAACCACCCCTAAATTAAAAAAAAAAAAAAAAAAAATTTTTTTTCTCTCTATAATCTTATTATTCTTTTTAAACAAGATATCTGAACTATATCTCTGTTTAAATATGTCGTTAAAGAATATATTATGCACACACACACACACACACACACACGTTATGGATGGGTAAAATTCTTTTATGTCTAATTGTAGGAATTGGCAATTTTGTTTGTTATTAATGTTGTGGAACCAATCAATAGTTGCTTTTGTGTTTTTCCACTGGTTTACTCCTAACTTCTTCCTAAGTTCAGAAATAATTCTTTCTGGTATCGTTTTACTTATTTTACCTTGTTTGCTTTTGGCTGGGTTTATGAGTCTTCGTGCAGGGTTGGTTTTGAAATTTTCTTTGTGGTCTTTTAGTGTGATAAAGGCTTGCGCCTTACTGATGCAACTTATTCGGTCGTCTAGGTCTAATTTTTGGGCGATTGTTTTAGCTTTCTTATTGATATCGTGTTCTATTGTTTTGGGTGCCTTTTTGTATGTTTTGGGTATGTTGTTCTTGAGTAATTTATTGTGCATAGGGGGGCTTATTTTGTATAAATATATATGTATATAATTTTTTTTTTTTTTTAATTCTGTTCACCCCCAAGCAAGGTGATAATGCCACTAAGATGCAAGGGGTTACTAGGAGTGAAAGGGAATGAAGACTTTAGAAGGAATTAGAAACCTGATTTTAAACAGGAAACAAGAGATAAACCTCAACTCAAATTCACTCTCCTCCTCAGACTTTGTACATATCAACTCCTATGAAATTGGGTTATCCAGGTCCAAGTTCTGGTTGAGGATGATTGGGCTGCCAGTCTTGATAAAAAAATTTTTACATGTTTATGGTATAGAGTCCGAGCCTCTATGCCATAGAGAAGATTAATTAGCATAAATGCGCCACACACACACACACACACACGTGCACATATATGCACCCTGGTGCAAATTAATTGAAACAAAATGAATAATTCTATTATTATTTAGATTTTTTTTTTTTTTTTTGTATTTTTCCAGTGAAACATGACCCAGTGCACATGTTAGTACTTTGTATGTCCATTCCATGAAGTTGTTCCTTGTAGATTGACCACAGATTCTTGATTGGATTTAAATTGGGAGAGTTTCTGGGTCAGTCTATTGTACTTTGATTTGCTCACTGGTAAGACTTGTGTTCCTGCAGCATTACAATTTTTGTACACTTCCTTGGAGTAATGTCCAGGACAACTGATTGACAGTTGAAACAATAGTGTCTTGGCGTGATGAAAATCTGATGCAATCACAGATGATGCAATATTTTTTCAAGACCAAACAACTTTCATCGCACACCTCAAAAATACATTCACATTATTACAAACCACCTAATCTGAGGTAAAAATAGAAATCAATTACACCCTGTTACTCCAATGGGTCTAAAACTGACCATATTGTGGAAGAAAGGAAACTAAACAGTTGTTTCAATTAATTTGCACAAGGGTTGTGTGTGTGTGTGTATATATATATATATATATATATATATATATATATATAGTAAAAATATATATATATAGAACAGTAAGATATATAATCCGGTGTTTTTATTGATATTTTTATTTTTATAAAACAGTGCTCAATGGAAATTTACAAATTATAAATTAACTGATTTAAAAATATGGTTTGATTGCTACACAGGAATTACCATGTTTCAAAAACAGAAACCAAAAACTTCAAATTCAATTATATAATTTAATCAAAAGCATTAGTTCTGTTTCATCTTCAAGTGAATTTTGGAATAACTTATTTTGAAATTTACTGAGTTTTAATAGCATATACATTCATAATTTTTGTTTCCAAGGATACAGAGAAATCCAATCATTTAGACCAGGGTGGTAGCTTGTTCTTTTTTATTAACTATTATTGTATCAATTATGAGTTACATTCAAAAAGAGGTTAAGTCTAGGTAGGGTAGGGGTGCGTTTTTTCAACGAATTTTGACATTCGTTCAACGCATGTTGTCTGCTTTTTTTTAATCTACAACAAACAGTTTTTTGGCATTTTATTCGTTAAATTTGTGCTTATATACATACAGATTCTTTCTAAAAGGGGTGTTTAGATTAGAATATTATTTTATTATTTACTTTTAATTACTAATAGATTTTATTTCTTTTTAAAACAAATAAATGTAAAAGAATTACTTATATTTGATATATAATAATAATTTAAAAAAATTTAAGTATGTATATTACTAGCTATGCTTTTTTTTTTAAATATTATTTAAGGAAAATTTTTGACAATGTTGGCAAAGAATAGCTATTTCATGTCTATGATTCAGTAAATTTTTATTTTTTATAAACTTAGTAATATATAGTTTCTCATGTATGCACAAAGGACATGGGTCATTTAATTCTAGCTTTTCTTATTAATTTTCATTTTACCATAGGTGTTTTATTGGTTTCTTTTAAGTGCCAGAAATATTTCGTTAGGGACATCTGATTTCAGTATTTATTTATCCTAAATCAACTTTGATGTTGATTGAATTTTTTTTTTTGAACTCATGTCTTGTGCAACCTATATAGATTTTTATGGTTTCAGGATTCTCAATAGATGATTGCATTGGTATACTAATGATTTCATGCAACATTTAATTTCTAGAGGACAGTTATGAGGATTTCTACAGTTACATAATTTTTGTTTATCTTCATCTCTTTTTATTTTTATACTGTCTAAATTTCTTTGGTTTTGGTCTAAGTGTTTATTCAAGATATTGGCATTATGTTTCCTAATAGTTTTCAGTACAGTTGTAACTTAATTTTAGTGTATTTTTATTGAAAATAGTACTGAGTTTACTATCTTGAGGAAAATGTTTAATGATTAATGCAAGGAATTTTTGTCCTAATTTATTCTTTACCATTTGGTTGTATAGGGGTGTATATCAAATTATTTTTCTGCTTCTGTTTTTTCTATGCTTTCCATTTTCATTTTTTATGTAAGTTAGTTTTGGGCTTTTGTAGCCATTATCTTTTAGAGCTTTATTATATAAAAAATATGCTCATAGAAAATTTTCTCATTTGCTGAATCTGTATTTATTCTTTTTTCAATAGATAAAGGTATATGCTTGATTATAGATGGAGGATAATTAGATTTAGGGTGTATATACAAAGGATTAGTATTGGGTTTTTTATAAGGTATGTATACATTTTTCATTAAATCTAATGTCAAGGAAGTTAACTTTTTTTCAATTTAGTGCTTACCATAATTTTTAAGTTCAGGCATTTAAATTCTTTATATAATATCTTTCTAATTTTATCGATTTTAAAGTTAATAGAGTTCTTTATAACCCTAAGTCTGTCGTCCCTGTATAAACCAGTGTCAGTTATATTAATTTCATGGTACGCTGTAAGATTGTATAATATAAAAAGACCTATAAGGTCGGAAGACTCAGCTGAGTCTAGTGATCCCATTGTAATGTAAATGTGGGTGTAAGAATTTTTTATCTATTGCTCACCTTTATGTATCAGTACCGTTTTTTTTTTTTTTTTTTTTTTTGCATTTATAATAATGCTCTTTTCTTAATATCCGTGTACTGGGTAGCAAAGTCCAACGCATTCATGAACAGTTCTTTTGATATTGAGTGGTAATAATTTTCAGTATCAAACTGCATTAGTGTGCAGTTTGTTTTATCTTTAATATCAGCAAACCAGTTTATCACGTCTTTGGTATTAATCCAAAGTTTCAGCCCTATTTTTTCTTTAATTTGTTGGTTAATCTTTTCTAGGATTTTTTTTTTGTGTGTGTGTGTGTATATAATATATATATATATATATATATATATATATATATATATATATATATATATATATATAATATGTAACAAATCCATTGGTATATATTCCAAGTGGATCCTATTAATATAAAATATTAAAACTGATCCACAAAAAGAGCTCAGTGTATTTCTTATTAAAGTGCAAAAATTAATACACCAATAAAATCCCAAATCGCCTCATATGGGGAATAGCCTGTTTCTGTCAGACGAAAGGTATGAGACAGTGGTCGGGGAAGGGTAGAAGATTTTTGTCTTAAAGGGAAGAGATTTTATAAAATTAAACCTGTATATTAACCTTATGACATTAAATTGGGTTTAAATGACGAATGAAATGTTAATTTAAAACTAAGAGAGGAATAAAAAGGGTTTTAAAAAAAAACTATAGGTAGTTATATTTAAAAATACAAAGTCATACTTAAAAGTACAAAGTCATTTTCAAAAGCGAACAATTTGAATTCAGATATTCATGTAAGAATAAACAGACCAGCGTCCATTCAAAATGCTTCTAAAAGATTGAATCCTTGTTATTCCTGACTAGATATTGAATCTGTTTTATCCATTGCTAGGTCATCTGCTAAGAAAATCGGTTCACTATATTGGGTGTGACAATTTTTCCTCTCCAGAATCTATCTTACTTATCTATAATCTACCATGCCTAGAATATTGCTGCCACATATGGTTCCGTGCTCCTGCTATTTACCTTTTAGCTTCTTGATAAGATTCAAAGCAGAATCTGCAATATTAGTGGTCCTGATCTGGTGGCTTATCTACGACAAAAAGTTTTTTGGCATTTTATTCGTTAAATTTGTACTTATATACATACAGATTCTTTCTAAAAGGGGTGTTTAGATTAGAATATTATTTTATTATTTACTTTTTCATACTTTTCCCAAGGGTATTTGCAAGTAAGTGAATGTAATAAACCAGACTGGTCTCTTCTAATTTCTTATTTTGAGCTGATATGCGTTACACTGCAATACACAAAATGCACATTGGAATCAAGACGATAAATATGGATTCCTGTCCAGAAAAAATCCTCTTGTTAATGTAGACATGACTGAT